CTGTCCTAGTAGAAATCTTTCCTAGTAGAAATCTTTCCAAGTAGAAATCTTGGTGGAACTTTTGGCTTAGGAAGACATATAAGAGTGGAAATGAAAATATGTCCCCAATACACTAAATTCTGGTGCTAAGGTGTATATGGTTTCAGGATGCACCTCTTTCATTCTTTATAATTTATGGCTTGAGATTTCAAACATCAAATACTTGAAGGCTTGAATATACTTGCACTGAAGAAACTGTATATTCTGCACCTCCACTGCAAGTTCTTCTAGGGTGAGCATAAGTTATTGCCACGCGTTATTGTGTATTTTCTTCTTTTAACTCACACAACAGTGTACTTTCTTTTACCTTCATTTAAAACTAGCTTAGCATGTTAAAAATTCAGCAGTGCTTAAGAGGGCTAGGTGGTTTATGTGAAAGAAATTATTTGCTGAAAAATATGCTTTTAATTCTTTACAAAGCAGACCTGGATTTGTCGGTTGTGGACTACGGCCCTACAACAAACTTGTTTTCAGGATTCAGGAAATTAAAATGAATTTCATCTCCTGAGAATCAATGTCTGTATTCACTTTGACCTCCAGAGATAGACTTAACTGGCACGCTGTGGAATTCTAGATGCACCATCTCCTAAATCTTTCCTGCCAGTAGTCCTACTTTGCTATACAATTATTACATGATCTCATAGCGATCATTTCTATACTTAGGATGGTTTTAGCTATTATGCTTTTTGCACTGAGTGGAAGAACATCAGGGCTGAATGTCTTCAGACAAAAAGGCAGCTGAATCAAAATCTTCTATATGCTTGGTAAATTTCCTAACGCTGGATGATGAGCTAAAAAAGTAAGTTGAATCTCTGACAAGATCAATGCCTTTTGGTATTCTGAGTAATACTAATCTTTGGGTGGATTCAGCTCTTGAATACAACCCCAATTTTTTAAAATTTGGTTGAACTGAATGCCTCCTTGGTTAGCTGCAAAAATTAAAAGGTGGAAATGCTTGCGGAGTGTTTTTTTTTGGTGATCTTCTATGCCATCCTTATAACCTGGTGTAAGATGATAGATAAAGGCACAAAAAAGAAGAAAAAACTCCCTCCTGATTGCTTCCTGGAAACCTCCAGCACCTAGGGAGACATTCACAGGAACTGATAAAAGGATTAAAAGGAAGAAGTGATATGGAGATAAATATGGGCTTTTTTCTCAAACATCCTGGAATTCAGAAAGTGGACCCTTGGGCCTATTTCATCTGTCTATCACCCCAAAATTAGTTTATTGACTATAGCCACTCAAACTGCCTAAAGAAAAAAGGTATAAAAAGAGATTGGACCCAAGCAAAAATCCAGGACAAATTCCATCAACTCTGTGGAGGTAACTGATGGGCTGCCTTTTCTTCCTCCACCTTCTTGGGACGCCTTGGGATGAGCAATTGCTTTATACAAATATACTAATTTTACTTTTGCTCTATAGTACTTTAAAATTTTTACTTATCACTTCATTGTAAGTTGCTTTTGCTTCAGCGTGTGTGTCTATGCTTTGTATTATTATTATTACTACAGAGTTTGTGTGGTTT